TGAGCAGGCCAACAGAAATGGTTAAGATGACAAGTTAGAACACATTATTATGATAGGAGGAATCAGCATCTAGAAAATACGGCAGTTGGGATGTTCGATTCTTTGAAGGAATGTTTTCATTTATGTGAGAATGTGCAAACAGTAAGTATAGATATTTATGGATGGGCAAGAGAAAGGCTTGTTTCTTCTCTTTTAGTTTGAGTCTGGTGAATTTTTTTTGATGCTTTTATTAGATAAAAGCAATCTATTAAAATTTTTTCTGTTCCCATTTGCTTTCATTTCCCTTTTGTACTTTCCTTAAACCTTAATCTTCCCCTCATCTACAAAAACATTTCATGTCTTTCCTTTGTCTACTGTTACATAAGTTTACCTTTCCAAACTTGGGTTCCATTTAAATAATCATATTTTATCTCAATCACCTTGTTCCTTTGTTTGTGCTTCCTACTCTCTTCCCAAACCTCTTTATTTTAATCTTTTCTCCTTTTGTTTTCTCCTGTAGAATATCCATATCCCTCTTCTATCTCTTCTCTCAAAGGAACTTAGCTTTCTCTCATATAGAATTTAATGTAATTGCCTTTTTTTCCATGGGCAGTGCCAAAACTAGGAGGTTTGGGCAATGTGAATGCTATTGAGAAAACTTCAGAAGAGGAAGAATAAGATCACTCTTATTTTGCTCTTTATTATGAAGGTTCCAGCCTGGAGAACAGATAAGCCTCTCTATATTTGAGGTATACTTGAAACTTTTTCATTTTCAGAAATTCATACAATGTCAGACATGGGAAGGCCCTCAGAAGACATCTAGTTCAACTTGAACTTGAATAGGAATCCTTCCACATCATCTCCAGATGGGTGTACTCCTGTCGTAGTCTTCTACTTTGGGATAACTTTAAGCATAAGGAATTTTTTCTTACATTTAGCCTAAATCTATCTCTTCAATTTCCACCTGCTTTTTCTATCTTTGCCTTCTGGTCCTAGAACAAGAAGTATTGTCCCTTTTCCATGTGACAGCTCTTCAAATACTTGAAGGCAGCCATTGTCCCACTACTAAGTCTCCTCCAGGCTAAATATCTCTGATTCCTTCAATGAATTTTCATATTACATGATCTGAAGACCTTTCACAATCCCGGTTGCTCCAACTTATCAGTCAAAAGCCTTCTTAAAATTTGGTGTCCAAAACTGAACATAATACTCTTCATGGTGTATAAGCATAAGCAAAGTATGGTAGACCTATCACTTCTGTGTCTTGGACACTATTCTTTTATCCCCTTTGGAATGTATCCCGAAATGCCATAGTAAGGGTTTGAAAATTAACTGGCATTCTGGGACAGATGTACAAGCAAGCATTCCTTCTCATCTGTTTAAGGTATTTTAGACTATTGAAATCTTTGAGTCAGAAAGCAGGCTTGAATTCTTCCTGAAAGTTCTTAAAAGGACTCATATAATCTGTGAGATACAGACTAAGAAGGAGTGAGGTCTTCAAAAACTGAGCAGCAGCAGGGTTGTAACATCCTCATACTCACCCAGGACTTAATGAGTTGATCATGAAAGAATTGGTGGCATCATTATAATAAACTGGTAAATGGACAGACTGAAAGGACAAGACTAAAAGGAGAAAATTATAAATTGAAAATGGTAACATTTGTCAAAACAAAGGTGGCAAAAAAGAAAATATAGATCACATTTCAACTGATTAAAAAAAAAAAGACCATTTTGTCCAATGGATTAGTAAATCACAGTAATCTTATGGGAAGATAAGCATTCATTTATGTAAAACTCAAGTGACTTAAATAAACAAGTTGCCACCTAAGCTGATGTCCTAACCTTGTTTACCCCTTCTTGGTTTATATTTCAATCAACTTTAAGTTCTAAGTCCTTATTAAATGTTATATACAAATAAAATTACAGCATTAACATTTCTAATAGGAGAAAGATCTTCGATTAATCTTGCCACACTTATTAATCCAAACATTTTAGGAGAATCCTTCTCATTAAATCTTTCTCACTCTACTTCAGGCCTTCATCACTTCTTGCCTAGACTATTGCAGTAACTTCTCAGTGGAGTCTCTGCTTCAGTCCTCCTCCATTTCCAATCCATCTTTCACACAGTTGCAAAATTATTTTCTTAAAGTTCAAGTCTAATAATTGCTGTTCCCCTAGTGGTTTCTATGGCTTCCTGAATCAAACAGAAACTCTTCCATTTGGCCTTAAAAGCCCTTTACAGCCTAGCACCCTTGGTCTCTTATATGCAAATGTGTTATATTTTAATGTGCTAACTACATGGAAAAGCTGCATTCCTGATCTATATTCAGAGCAACATTTTGCCCTATTGAATATAACCAAAAATTTTATTTATAGTCAAATTGCATCTAAATATTTTAACATTGTATAATAGTATAGTTTATAATCAGTTTACTGTGTCTTGTACTTACTAGACACTAAATTAAAAATATTGATTTGATATACAATTAAAACGTATAAACATAGGTTTTATTTATTGAGAATTTTCTTTTGTGTTTCAGGAAAACAACCAAAGTTTTAAGTAGCATTTATAAGAACAGATGATTTTGAAGATAAGGAATCGTTCATTTTATATTTTGGACACCTAAAAATGAAGTGGATCTAGTAACAATAACTGCGATGGACCGTGACAATCCAATTTATTTTTCATTTCAATAGTTGACTATTTGGTTTTCCCTAAAATGAGTAAGAAATATTTTAAACTATAAAGAACTTTCTAATCAGCTTCAGCTTTTGCAGGCAAGCAACTGCATAATTTGGGAAATAACACTGGAAAGTAGTAATTGACTTAGTTTTGTGGGAAGACCCGTCATTTATAATTTGCACGTTACTTGCAATTTTTTGTTTTTCATCATTTGTAATAATGGAAGGGAAATGCAAGCTGTAACGATTCTCAAATATAAAATATTTGCTACTATATTATGTATATAGTACATAATCTTTTGTTGCCTTTAAAGTTGCTTTTATTCTTGTTTCCAGTAATTTTATACTAACACTTGAAAGGATCTTTTGTAATCTCCTCAAAGCCTTAATTTGATTGAGTAAATTTAGTGGTGCAGTTCTCAAAGACAGAGAGGAGAATTTCTTATAGCTATTTCTGACCAATTGTTCTTTAGGTTATTGGACAATAAACATCCTAAAATTATTAGCAGAGGCAGACTAATTGGAAGCTGTATTAGTGATACCAAATGGAACTATGGAGCTGAAAAAGATACTGCTTATGTTATAGACCGAACTATATGAAAAGTAGTTCAGAGTTTTTATAAATAGGACTATTACTCTCATGACCAAAAAGGAAAATGTTAGAGATTTGTAAGGTTGCACATACTTTAAGCTTCAATGCTCTGTTCAACTCTCTAATATCCTTATAATGTCAAGAAAGTATTTGGATGAAGCATTTAATAAGTAAAATTCCTAAAATTATTTTTTTTATACCAAGAATTTTCTGTAGTGAAATAGCCACCCCAAATATTACTGGAAAGTATTTTTCCAGCTCAGTGTCAAAAAGCCACTTACCAGTTATGGAACCGTTATTTTGAGGAGGTTCATCTGGATGGGTTTTTGTCTCTCCCTCCCTCCCCATTTACTTTCCTCCTCCCCACCAAGAGAGAAAATAGGCAACTATTTTTGTTCATTTTTCCTGGGATGGGCCAAAGGAACAGGAAAGAGTGACTCTCTGTACCAGGAACAAACTATTATTTGGCAAAGGGTAAAAATGGTGTTGTAAAGGTAAGTATCAGTCCCTCTTATCTCCAGTAAAGGAATCTCGGTTGGTAGAGTTTCATTCCGACAAAAGGTTTTTAATTTGATTAAGCATATCCCTCTTCTCTTTGGGTCTTAGAGCCATTTTTCTGAGATCCTGGTTTTTAGATCAAAGTATTCAAACTTCAATCCCTCACTCATCTATTCTCCCTGGAAAAGGTTCCCTCTGAAGTGCTGAGAAGGCATTCATTTAAAACCTAAAGCCAGGTTTTTATGATGAGCTATTATATGTAGCACCCTTTAAAAACAACAGCTTTTTACTTTGCTAATTCCTTCTACCTATATAATGGTTTCATTGCAGTCAGAATTGTCATATATGATTAAATTCTCTTACACCTTAAATTCCTTTTCTTATTTGAGTCCCTTTATTGCTAATTATACAAAGAAATAGGATCTAATTTTATGTATATTTGGAATTTGGCAAACCCTTATGCTGAATATCTGTTGGATAAGCCATTGCAATGGGCAGAACACTTATAATGTCATGTTACCATGGGCCAGACATTGAAGACTACACCGTATTAAAAGACTTGATGTGGTTCCTAAATATGACACTGAAAAGGACCAGCTAGTGCAATGGCTGGCCCTTTTTTTTTTTATTACTTAGCAGCTGTTTTGGGGCTGCATTTTATCTCAGCCATTCAATGCCAACTTTTTTCAGAGGAAGATTAAACACAACTTGTGCACTGAGTTTTGTTATGGTGATAACATTCTGATAGGTTTTCGAAGTCAGTTGATCCTTTGTTACTGTACATATTCGGAATGAGGCTGCAAAGACTTTATATTCTGTCTCTTTGCCTTTGTACATATGTATAGCATGTTTATATAATCATTGTACATCTCCAGTAATGTTGCGCTGTGCTCTGTATATAAATTAAAGTTTGAGGAGTTATTATTTTGTAATGTTTGTCTTCAATAGAATTGGCCAAGACAAGTATTTTATAGACCTAATCCATCCAACAATCAAAATAGACTGTCTTTATGCCTTGGAGAAATTCTGAAATGAAAAATGAATTTAATTTAGGCTAGAGGAGGTTTGCTGGGGACACACAAATCTTTGTGGGTGGTTCAGAGTTGTGATTATATTTGAGAGTGTTTCTGTTATCTATAATTTTATAGTCTTTAAAAAGTAGTTTTTAAATTTAGCTATTTGAATTATACAAGGATGAAAAGATGATTGAAAATTTTCACCTGAAGTTACTTTCCCCTAAGACTAACAAGTTGAAAAGAATCCTAATAAGGGGTATATAATTTTTTAAACAATTTTCTGTGTGATGAGTTTTAGTTATAAAAGTGGCTATTTGTGGTTTATGAGCTTGCAAAGAATGGCATATACATTTTAAGGAATAGACAGGAGATTTGAAGTTAAGTATATATAATCATAGTAGATGGTTCCCCCATTGACTGATGCTTTACATTTCACTCAGCTTTTTTGTATTTCACATTATTGGTTTATTTTCTTAAGTTAATACTCACTGTTTAAAGCATTTTGATGTCAGCTAAAATTTAAAGTGTTTTTTTCTTCACATTAGCATACTATCCCACCAGTTACATGCTGTAATCAAACACAGTATTATTTTGAGCCAGATTATCCTAAAGCATAAACTATTCCCTGGATCCAAATGTGCCTGATTTGTAATCAGGATTTAGAATGTGCCAAATACTCCTTTCTTGGAAGCTACATTAACTCTAAATCAACAACATTACTCATATTACTCATGAGGTACCCATAGTACATTACTTAAAAAGTTCCTTACCAAATGGCACTCTGACTTATCAAGGAATTGTTTATTTACACTTTAGAAAGACCTGGCTCATAATTTGATAATTGACAAACATATTACATCAAAATCTATTTTATGCTCTATGTATTAACTTAGTTAAGTAATACGGAAAAAGTATACACATTTTGGTGCCAGTAACCTTGGGATAGGAATAGGAAATCAGTACAATACAGAATAAACCATTCACACAGAAAGTCAAAGGATCCAGGTTCACAAATAACAAGATTTAACATTTTTGACAATGTATGACCAAAACAGAGTTTATCCAATGAAGAAGTAAAATAATTCCTCTTAAATTTCCTTTTAATGATCTGCAATATATTCATAATTTTGTTTCTGGTAAGAATTTTTTATATCTATACCTTGGAAAAGTACCATACTTTTGAAAACCATATAGTATTTGAGGACAATATATAAACAACATAATTATCATGGAAATAGTTAACAGAAAAATCAAATTTTATCTAAAATTTACACAAGTGAGGAAGGTAGAAAAAAGTACATGTTAAGGGAAACATTGAATTCAAATATATAGTAGATTAATAGCCACACATAAGTACATAATGCTTGTTAAATGTAAACTTCATTGTTTACTTGGAACAATGAAGGCATCTAGTTGTTGTTCAGCACCCACCATGAAGCTGAAAGGAAAAATATAATTTTAGTAATGAAGTCAACTTGATAGTTGATACTTTATTACTCTGTGAAATATCAATACATGAGTGAGAATAAATGATTTCACCTACCCTTCTTTGATGCAGAGGAAGAAAGCCAAAAAAATTCATTATAGCATTTGCTTCACAGCTTGGGTTATATATAATTGCTTACGTGTAAATTAAATAGTAGAAATAAGTGCAAGTCTCACTTCTATGAAGCCTTCCTGGAGTACTTTGTCAAGTTCTGTTTTCTTTCTAGTCTGGTCACCTAGGGCATTTTTCTGTTAACATGATTTTTTGCCATATAATTGTATCTTGCCTTGATTGGTTCACATGAATGTGGTATGTCTTCCATATAGTGATATGCTAAGCTTCTTGAAAATGGAGCCATTCCCCCCCCCACAGAAACAGAACTATATGTTACAGTAACATTAAAAAAAATGAAAGCTAACAGAGAATCAATCATGGAAGAATGCTATAAAAGTTTGTTTTAAGTGAAATCTCCTATTAAGTTCAAATCTGAAATTAGAAATACATTTACGTTACATTGCAGGGGAATTCCCTAACAGATCAAAGAAGGAATTAAGTTAATTACTAGACTGTTAACTAATGCTTTCATAACATTTTCCATTACCCAGGAATTTTCTTCCACCTAAAGATCTTCTGGTTCCACTGGCAAATGCAACAGCTTTCACCCTTGCTTGGCATAGATTATTATTATCATTATTTTTGGACCAATTCTGTGATTTCCTCTGTGTAGGGAACTTCCAGTGAGGAAACTCAGGTATTGATATGTATATATTATTTAAGGTGTCTAACAGAGTTAGCCTCTTCGATCTCAAAATACCAATAGTTTACATATAATGTTATGACTTCAACATGACAATTCCTTAAGTTTAAGGATTCAGATTGTGCAAAATACATTAATATTCTTAATTTATCAATGGTAAAATTTGAAATTCTATACACATGAATTATTTAAAATGTTATGTTTCATATATGCTCTTGAAATGGAGTGGAAGAGACCACTATAGTACAAACAGGTTGAAAAAAAAGTTAGTACACCATGTATCATTTGATGATGACTGGAAATCAGTAGTTACAGATATGAGGGATGACTTGTCACAGGGAAGACATGGCCAGAGTGCATATAACTAGCCAAAACCAGTATTTTGGCAGGTATGTTGTATGAACTTTCTTGTGGTATCTGCTGCCATCTTTACCATTATATGAAATATGTACTAATTAATCTTTCATAATATTCTGTATTTAATATAGAACCAGATATAAAATAAAGGTTTATGATTGGTTGTTCTGAATAATGAATATCTTCTGCATCCCTACCTTTGGCTATCCTCTTGTGTGTCTTCTTTAGGGCCACAGTTAGCAACATATCAAATATTTTACCTACAATATGTGATGTGTATAGCCTATAATAGTTATAAACCAGTAAAATAAATATTAGTTTGTAATTTCATGCCTGTAATAGGGTTGCTTTATTTCCTTATATTGCAGCTTGGTTTTTTTTTGGTTTTTGTTTGTTTGTTTTTTTGGCGAGGCAGTCAGGGTTAAGTGACTTGGCCAGGTCACACAACTAGTGTTAAGTGTCTGAGGCTGGATTTGAACTCAGGTCCTCCGGACTCCATGGCTAGTGCTCTGTCCACTGCACTACCTAGCTGCCCCCATATTGTCATTTAGGCAGCCCAGCTGGCAGTCTTGGCAGTTTTATTGAAAATAAAATTGCTTCCTGGGCTTAAAGAATCACATAAAATGAGTATTTTGTGCTTCTCAGCTGTTTGTTGATGGTGGTCTTATCATTCTTTACACATTTTGGTGTAAGGTTATTAGGTACCATATGCATATATGGTCCATGTATTTGCCAAATGTTTCTGTTTTCTATTTTAATATATATACAGTAATTTTTTTTAAAACTAGCTAATACAAATGGTATGCCTCTTCAGATTTAAATTTTGGCATTTATGCCTTTATGCCAAATTTACTTAAGCTATTGTGCATGATAAACATACAACTGTATGAAGATTCATATTAAAGAAGTTTAACAAAACCCAATAGGAAATCTAATTATTTAAAGCTAATTAAAGTTTTGAAAGTAGTGGTAGGAAATGGGGAACCACCTTAGTATTGATCAAGATTCACTTTTTCCCTTCTTTATCTGTTAACTTGGAATAACCTTAGTTGAAATTAGGAAAACTAATGCTAGATAGCAGCAAAATTTATTAAGCAGCATTAAATCATGTTTATTTGAAGTTGAAAGAGGAAGAGATTCAGTTAGATTATCAGCTGCTTGAGGGCTGTCTTTTTGCCTTTCTTCATACCCCCAGCACTTAGCATAGGGCCTAGCAAATAGTGGCTGCTTAATAAATGCTCATCGACTACAGTTTTTTAGAGGGTAAGATATGTTTTCTTTCTGTGTCAACCTTTCTAAAGCCAGAAACAAAATAATTACTTGAGTAAGACAGTGTGACAATAATATATCTTAATAGTTTATTGAAAATAGCTTTTTATGAAGCAGAGTTGAACCAAGATGCCTGTTAGATTTTTTCAAATTCCTATGTTCTTGCAATACTCTTAATTTTCCTAATCCCTCATTACCTTTCTCTTTTTTCTAAGTTTTTATTTCTATATTTGCTTCACATACCCAGTTGTCATCTATGATTTTTTTTTTGGGGGGGGGCCTAGGCAGTGGGGTTAAGTGACTTGCCCAGGGTCACACAGCTTATAAGTGTTATGTGTCTAAGGTCAGTTTTGAACTCAGGTCCTCCTGAATCCAGGGCCGGTGCTTTATGCACTGCGCCACCTAGCTGCCCCATCATCTATGATTTGTAAGGCATTCAATAGTAATAGCTCATTCAGTAGTAACATGGCTCATTGTGGCGCTCATCTCCTGACCCAACAACTCTCCCAGTGCATATCCATTCTGTTGCCAAGGCCTGTAATTTCAGCCTTTGAAACATCCCTTGCATATACCCCCTTCTCTCTGACATTGCCACCACTCTAGTGTAGGCTTTTATTACCTCGTGCCTGGACTGTTGTAATAGTCTGCTAGTGGTGTCTGCCTGCCTCAAGTTTTTCCTACTATAATCTGTTTTCCATTTTGCCATTGAAGTAATTTTTTGAACACACAGGTCTAATCATAAATTACTCAGACTATTGAATAAACTTCTATTGACTCCAGGATCAAATATAAAATCTAGCCCTCTGTTACCTTTCCAGATATGTACTCTTCAGTCCAGTGACACTGGCTTCTTGGCTGTCCCACAAACAAGACATTCCTCCTCTGTTCTGGGATTTTCTCTGGCTGTCTCCCATGCAGGCCCTCCTCAGCTCTAATTACTGACTTACCTGGCTTCCTTTAAGTCCCAACTAAAATCCCATCTTTTATTGGAAGCCTTGACCAAACTCTTAATTCTACTGCCTTCCTTGTGTTAATTATCTGTAAGTCCTGTACATCGCTTACTTTGTATATATTTGTTTGCATGTTGTCTCACCCATTAGATTGTAAGCCCCTTGAGTGCGGGTACTGTCTTTTTCCTCTTTTCATATCCCCAGCACTTAACACAGTGCCGGCACAAAGTAGATGCTTAATAAATGTTTGTTGATTGATTATTCTTTCTCTGACACATTGCTTGATCCAGGTGGTAGGAAGCAGAAAATGGTTATAGTGGTAAAGATAAAGGACCACGAAATCTTATATCAGTACTCCTGGGATGTTTCAGCTATCCCAAAGATATGTTCCAGGTGTAAAGATGTATAGAAAAATTATAAAACATGAAAGGAATCTATATTACAAACTTTCTCTTCTTATGCCCCCAACATACTTCATTATATTATAATGTTTAAGCCTAATATAGTTATGCTAAAGATGAAGAGTTTCAATCTTAGAATCTTGTTTATTTGCTTCACTAATTCTCACCTTCACCTTCCCTTGAGCTTCGGAGTATCCAGAGTTGTGAGTGAAATTATGAAGCCACAAACTGATTTTAACCACATGCAATATGACTTGCTATTTGAAGCTTATACTTAATATTTAGAAAGAATACCCAGAATTGTGAATTCATTGAGTTTGTTTCCTCCAGGCCAATTTCTGTAAGCAGGAATCTCAAACAGATTTAATTTATCAGGCTCCAGAGATTCCTGATCTGGTTTGAAGGTGAAGTTCAAGTTAGCTTAAGAGAGGCGTGAAACCTTTGGAATATTATATACTTTAATTTTTTTCTTGTTCCCTCCAAACTGTACATTTGAAATTCCATTTCACGAAATACTCATAATGAAAATCTCTCCATAACATTTACAAACTCTAGCCCATCGCCTAATTCACTGTATAAGATTCCAGTATGAGAGAATTGGAAAATCCTTAGTGTTTATTCTAATACCATTTTGACCTATATTGGAATATAAAATAAGCCACTTTTATTTTGTAAAGAAGCATCTGCTTATGTACTGATTCCTGATAATTCTAAGAATCATGGACAAGGCCTTTCCTAAATGGACATTTGAGTTGGAGGGAAAAGATATGAAAAACAAATCATTAGGTAGTATGGAGGAAAATGATAGTACTTGAGGGAGGGGAAGATAAAACAACATACAAAAGCTAAGAAAGGTAAAGACAGCATAGTTACCAGGAACTAGCATAGTAGACGTGAGTTCTGGAGTTTCCAAGAAATCCACATTGCTCCTTTGGAATGCCTTGCTGTAATTCATCTGAAGATGGCTGTATAAACAATTACATGTCAGTGCATTTTCATTTATCTTCTTCATTTTTCCAAAATAAAATACCGCAGAGGCTAAAGTCACATGTACCATAGGATTAGATATGGAAAAAGCTGAACAGGATTTTTTGAAGATCATTTGGCTTGAAAGACTAGTGATATGTGATGATAATCATCAAGAGAATCTGAATTCTCTAGTGGAGGTGGAACACTAGGAAATTCACTTAAGTTTTAGCAAGATTAAGTTTAAACAAGTGGAAAACATCTTGATTAAATATTGGGGCAGACTAGTATATGAGATTGGTAGCTAGGTGGTAAAGTGGATAGAGTTAGAAGGCTCAATTTTGTGGGTTCAAATCTGGCCTCAGACACTAGCAGTGTGACTTTGGGCAAGTCATTTAACAATCCTGTTTGCCTCGGTGTCCTCATCAGGAAAATGAACTGGAGAAGGAAATGGCAAAACATTCTAGTATCTTTGCCAGGAAAACCCCAAATGGGGTCAGGAAGTGTTGGACACGACTGAAAAAACAGCAAAAATCATGTGAGAGTTTTCATTGGAGTTTTCATTTTTTGTTTTGTTTTGCTTTGTTTTTAAACCTGTCCTGAAGAGTTTAGGCTTGCAGGCAAGAGGCTGAAAAAGAAAGAGGTTAAGTGTAGTTTTGTGATCCTTTTCAGCATATTCCTTGTTATATAATGAGACCCATTCTTTTCTAAATTGACAGTCTTCATTATCTAATCTTTTATATAGCCTGAGGGGAAAATATTTGTAGCTATACACATTGTACTTCAAATGCTTAAAAGATGTATGGTACCATTGGTGTGAGTGCAACATAGTTTGCCATTCCTCCATGGCTTAACAGAGGCAATCTTCATGAGGTGCTATGGCCATTAAAAAAAAAAATCACCTAGTGGCCCACCTGAGAAATAGCATCTTCGGTTTAGTTAGGCCACTGAGTAAAGCAATGTGTCACCAGACCTGTATTGGAAACTTTCCAGGTTGCTATAACATGGCAAAACTAATACTTTGCTGATATAACCTTTGAGAACTGCCTCCACAAGACAGAGGCATTGGAGTATGAGGTAGTATGGTGCAGTGGAAAGAATGTGGAATTTAGTGTCAGAAGGCTTAGATTCAGATTCCAGCTCTCTTACTTGTGTGCCTTCATGACCTTGGGTAAATAATCCCCTCTGACCTGATCTTCTCATCTGCAAACTGGGTTTCAACTAGATGAAGTCCATTCCACATCTGACTTACATCAAACATATATAGGTTAAATTGTGTGTGTATGGAGGTGGATGTGGCTTCTTATATTTTGTAAGAAAAAGAAAAATATGGGCTGTTCTCATAGTGTAATACTGTAAGTTTGTTTCAAGGCCAGGAACTACGTGACCACAAGACCAAGGAAACATTGGTGGAGAATCTAGAAAAGTAAGAAGATTTGCAAATGTGAAACCACGAATTTCCAGAAATACTGGATCTGTCTTCATTTCATTTCCATGTGATCTTTTTACTTCCTCAGAAGCATCTGGATTGGGGGGGCCTGGGTAGTTTTGGAGTGTTCATTAAAAACCAACTATAACAGTATCTTTTTCAGGGATATCCTTAGGCAAAATAAAGTATATGATTTTTTTTTCTTTTGCTAGTCCCAGTATTATTCTTTCATTCCTCATAGCTGCCCATCCCCATACCAGGTAATAGAGGTATCTTTCCAGCACTTCTGAAACCACACCTATTTTTTTGGTCTATACATAAAAACTGAACTCACTCTTGACTTACCTATTCCACATGCTGCTGTTCTCCCAGAACTCATAAACTATAAAGCGAGATTCATTTGAAAGTTTCTGAATAGAAACACTGAATTAAAAAAAAATACAGTTAGCTGAAGGATTCAAAGAAACAACGCTAATATCTGTATATATCATAATCATAGTTCACATATTTAGCATACAAAAATCTTGTCAGTGTAAGGTAGTATTCCATTTTATATGTGTGGAAACAGGTTTAGGGAAGAGAATGATCTCAACCATGGCATGTGGATGAAAATGAAAATATTTAGTTTTAAAAATTGTTCCAGATTTTTCTGTTTTCTTTTGGGATCAGGTAGACACAACCTCTAGAAGCAATATGTGGTGTGGAGGGCAGGCTTTAGTGTCCTGAAGACCTGAGTCCTGCTTCTGACATCCTACTATGTGATCAGGGGACATGTCTTAATTGCTTAGTACCCTGGTAAACTCTTGAAGATTATAAATTACAGAAAAGTTGCCAATACGTGTCTGTGGAGGGAATGTTACACATGAAATTGCAGGTCAGGAGAAATGAATCACAACTTTGTAGAGATCAGACATGGTAGCTTTTAGACTTAAAATTGTTAAGTTTAAATTATTAGAAGGTAGCCTAGACTGAATAGGAGACCAACTAAAATAGGAAGAATTGGAGCTCCTCTGTTGGAGAATTGACTACCTTGTTTTGAGTCAGGCTTCTGCAATTTAGGGACAAATGGTATTATCTTTCTTCATTAGGCATAGTGATGTGTTTACAGAGGCTGACTCAAATCCTAAAGTTGGCTTTTGTTCCTATTATGGAAACACTGTGACAGTGATTCTGTCTGAAGACAATTATCATAATTTTTAAAAATTGTCCTGGATCTTAAATTTTAAAATTGGCCCCAGTGCAATATAATAGCTTGGAAGACAACATTCCCCCTAAATTTTAAATTCATAGCTTCCTACCTCCATTTTCATGAGTTACAAATACACAATCTTCAAGACAAGTGAAAGGCTACTTGTTACTAGTTCACTGTTCAGTTCTTAGTACACAATAATCATCAGTAAAGAAATATAAGCAATTAAAAGCTGTAAAATCCTGAAATGGAAGCATCTGATGGCATAATTAATCATGTTTATAATTAGGGTACAATTTATATATGCTGAAATGGGTTTAACTCATTGATGTGAGTGTTCCAGCCAGTAATGCAGAGAATAACCCCAATAAATAGGGTGACTCAATAAATAGTCAAGAAACATTCAGCATTCATTAGAAGGAAGGCACTGTACTATCTGCTATACATGCAAAGGTGAATAAGAAATGAACCCTGCCCTCAAGAAGCTTACAATCTAGCTCCATAAATTTGGCTAATATAAATTAGCCAATAAAGTTAAAATTTAGCTAGTAAAATCTTAAAAAAAAATAAGAATCTTCTATGTACCAGGGACTGTGCTAGGTGCTGAGGATATAAAGATCGAAATAATCCCCACTCTTAAGGAGCTTATGTTCAATGGAAATATGGTTTTAGATCTGGAATGATGTAACTGAGTCTGTCACTTTGCAGTTGAAAGTCCAGAGGGAAATGACTTGCCTGAGGTCAAACACCGCCAAACCACAGAACCTCAAGAGTTGGAATGGACCTCAGAAATCATCTAATCCAAACCATACTAGCTAAGCTTCCCTTCTGGGGCAGCGAGGTGGTCCAGTGGATAGTATTGAGCCTGGAGTCAGGAAGACCTCAGTACAAATCTGGCCTCAGACACGTTAGCCATGTGACCTTGGGCAAATCACTTAATCCTGTTTGCCTCAGTTTCCTCACCTGTGAAATGAGCTGGAGAAGGAAACTGCAAATTACTCCAGTATCTTTGCCAAGAAAACCCTAAATGGGGTCACAAAGAATTGGACATGACCGAGCAATGAGAGTCCCTTCTAGGACATCCCTGATTAGTGGTCATCCAGCCTTCTCTTAAAATTGTCTTGGAGAACTTAGGCTAGAACCCAGAAGTCCAAACTCCTAATTAGGCCAGTGCTCTTTTTACTTATACCTTGTTGACTCACAATATTTTAGTAATAGCACTATTGGTGAAGAGTTCTAGTGATAAAGTTCTCAGAAACTTTTTAATCAGTGTAAAAATAAAATGTCTGGGGATGTGTTGTAGGATATGTATTCCTGCTGCCTCACCTGTAATACATTGTTCTGGAAGATAACAACTCTGAAACTCAATGTCCTGAGTACCCTCTCCCCTTGAGATCTCTTCCTCCCTGTGATTGGAGAGGGTTCAAGTTGGACAGTGGAGAGCTCTCCCAGATCCTCCATTTAAAGAGGGCACGTAGGACAGCTATCACTTCCCAGTGGGCTGCACTCCTCTTGGTCTTTTGTCTTGTTCTCTCCCACATCCTCCAATATTCACCCCATTCTTCTGCTTTCTTATGTGTTGTGTTCCCCCATTAGACTGTGAGCTCTTTGAGGGCAGGGACTGTCTATTGCCTTAGCACAGTGCCTGGCACATAGCAGGTGCTTACTAAATATTTATTGACTGACTGACTCTATTGGGTACACCCTCATTTTCATCCAGGGGGAGTTTTGGTGGTGGAGTAGAGGTTCCCAGAAAGACCCTTGATAGATACCTCTGCCTCTCTTGGTTTAATTCCCTGCTCACAAAAAAAAAAGGAGCTGTTTCCTGGCAGGCCTTGAGACTTCAGGAAGTACAGCCTTCCTCACAGTTTAGTCTAAGCCTTGGTCCCTTTACTTGAAACAAGATCCTCCTCCTCCTCCTCTCCTCCTCTTTCTCTTCTACTATCACCACCATTGTTCCATTGCAAGGAGACCAGAACTTCTCCTAAACTGCTCTTAGCTTAAGATGATTCTTATTAAAACTATTTTTGTTCCCAAATGACTTGTTAATCAAGGCTATCACTTAACACTTATCACACCCTCAATCATTTATTTAAAATAAAATATTTAGAAAGCAGCAAAATGGTGTTATGGAAAGAGCAGTGTCTGGAGAGCTGGCAGAGCAAGGCCCAATCCAGTATCTGCCCCTTGACTAGCTGTGTGACTATGGTTAAATCACTTCATATCTTCATTTCATTTTCTGTGAAATAAGAATAGTTAGACTTGCATTTTGGGTGGTTATAAAATGATAACATAAAATGTCATATGTGAGTTATGTGTTACTTGAATGATGTCTTTCACCATCAAGATTAATATACTTAGATTTCAAATTTTTGGAAATTTTATAGAAGTGATTTGAACAATGCAAAAATGGTTATGTTGTAACATGTACATCATTTATGTGCTTAATTAAGAAATGTAAACACTTTTATCTTGCAGTTTAAAATACTAAAATATTTTTGGTTGTCAATTGTCAGTGGAACTTTTTTCCATCTGCAATATAAATTCATTATTTGAAATGTAGGTCACTGAACACAATCTTATAAATTGAATATCTACTAATGTTTACTTTTAAGACTTAGGGGCATGTTTCTGATCAAAAGGAGCTCATATTTTTCTAAACATGAGTTAGGTGTGAATTGGTAGTTGGGTAGTTGGGAACCATAGTTCTTTTACTATTGTCCTAGGGAGACAATGTCTCTTTTCTAGGTACCCTAAATTGGAAGACAAGTGAGTGTCTTTAAAAGGAAATCATGTACTGATTTATTCTAATTGGGAGATAGACTGAATCCTTACATTCAGAAGATCAGAAAGAGCTAGTCTTGAAAAAATAGCATAAAGAATATTCCAGGAAACTAGATTATGCACATTCTTAGAGACACTTTACTTACTTTATAGATTAGTAAACCTAGGAACTATTTATCATCTATACGACCTTGAGCCTTAGTTTCCTCTTCTGTAAAATAAGAACATCGGATTGTTGTTCCATCCTTTCAGTCATGTCCTTTTTGTGACCCCTTTTGGGGTTTTCTTGGAATGATACCAGAGTAGTTTGCCATTTTTTTCTCCAATTCATTTTACAGATGAAGGAAACTGAGGCAAATAGCATTAAGTGATTTGCACAGGAGATTGGGTTAGATAAACTCAAAGATCCTTTTTCATTGTTTTTTTTTTTAAATAAAGTGATTTATCTAAAAGTGACCACTAGGTGACTCTGTGATACACATAAGTTTCAGATTCAGAGACATCTCCCTCCCAATTGGTCACACGGACCATACACACTGTACATTGACCCCCAATATAGAGATGTCATTTTGATCCTCTGAATATGAAGACAATAACCAGCCAACCACTTTTTCTTTCTACTGCTTTTGCCCAGTTGTTTCTGTTCTATAGGTTTTACCTGTACATATTTATATCTACGTATATTTTCCCATAGGCTAATCTAATATAGGGCAGCCAGGAAAGATGTAACAATAGTGTGGTTTATTTTCTCAGCCTCAAATTTACCAGGAAGAAGCCTTATCAAGTTATTTGCTTACTATTCTTACAAAAATTTCATTCCATTTAGTCTTCCTTGATTTACTCATTTGGTTCATCATAGGATTCAGAGCTGGAAATGACCTTAGTCATCATTGACACCAACACTCTTATCTGGCAGATGACAAGCAGAGTGTGGTGAAAAGAACACTAAATCTAGCATCAAGAAGACTTGGCTTTTCATTTCTGATGAAAAGACCAGAGCTAAACAGAAAATTTGACTTTCAAATACAGGACTCAAGTGGAACATGAAGAGGTAAACAGGAAAGAGAAATCATAAGAGACTTATTAAGATTGAACTGTTTACATTCCTGCATGAGAAAGACGATATTTGTAACTCATGAGAACTTTGTCAGTATTAGGGTAGGTGAAGGAAAAAAATTTATGTATGTATGTATATATAGATAGATAGAGGGCACAGGGTGAGTTGAAGATTAAGGGGTCATATCTGGAGAATAAAATTAAGGGATGAGAGAGGATGATACTCGGAGAAGAAAGGGAGAGGTAGAATGGGGTAAATTATCTCACACAAAAAAAACAGAAAAGTCTCTCACAGTGGAGGGGAAACAGGGGAAGGTGAGAGGGAATGAGGGAATCTTATTCTCATAGGATTTGGCTTAAGGAGAGAATAACATACACATTCAATTGGGTATGGAAATCTGTCTTACCCTACAGGAAAATAGGGGGAGAAGGGGACAAGAGAGCAGGGGGGTGATAGAGAGGAGGGCAGATTGGGAAAGAGGGTAATCAGAAGCAAATACATTTGACAGGGTCAAAAGAAATAATAGAATAAATGGGAGGGCAGGATAGGATTAAGGGAAATAGAGTTAGTTTTTCACAACATGTCTACTGAGGAAGTGTTTTGCATAACTGCACATGTACAACCTATATTGAGTTGCTTGCCTTTTCAATGAGGGTGGGTGGGGAGGGAGGAAGGGAGAAAATTTGGAACTCAAAGTTTTAAAAACACATGTTTTAAAAAAATGTTTTCACATGCAACTGGGAAATAAGAAATACAGGAAATGGGGTACAGAAGTCTATCCTGCTCTACAGGAAAATAGAAGGGGAAGGGGATAAGAGAAGGAGGGGGAGAGACAGAAGAGAAGGCAGACCAGGGGAAGGGGTATTCAGAATGCATGCCATCTTGGGGTGGGGGGGAGGGGTGAGAAATTTGGAACTCAAAAACTTGTGGAAGTGAATATTGAAAACTAAAAATAAATAAATTTATATTAAAAAAAAGACTTGGCTTTAAATCCCAGTTCTGCCACTACTTTGTTACCTTGGGCAAATCCCTAAACCTCCTTGGTCCCCAGTTATTCATTTAAAGTACCTTCTAATTCTAAATCTGTGATTGTGTTGCAATCAGAAAAGTAAATGAGTAGAAAGAATGCTGAACTTGAAGTCAGATGAGACTTATATTCTAATCTTTCCTCTGACACTTATAAAATGGGGATATCTATAGAAAGTATTTCACTATATATAAGGATAAAATGAGATAATGATGTAAAGCAGCAGTTTTCAAACATTTTGGTCTCAGAACTCCTTTTCATTCTTAAAAATTATTGAGGCCCCTTCCCACAAAGAACTTTTATTTATGTGGATTGTGTCTATTAATAAAAATTAAACATTTAGTGTTGTTATGAAGAAAGTTTTGACCTCATGGATGCCTCGAGGGACAGTGCTTTGATAAATATGTCATTTGATCCTTACAATAACCCGGGAGGTAAGTTCTTGTTTTATTATTATCCCCATTTTATAGATGAGGAAACTGAGGCTAAGAGAGGTTAAGTGACCTGCCCAGAATCACAAAGCTAGTGTCAGGGCAGGATCTGAATTCAGGTCTTCCAGATTCTAACTTCATTGCTGTATGACTGTGAAGAACAATAATTTATAGTCATGATGATGATATTTACTCGCCAAGAAAAGATTAAATGTGTGATAGAAAAATGTATATCCATAATGGCTCAGAACTCTAAGGATCATCCTCTAGCTATTTGGAAACTTTACTTACCTGGAAATTCCAAGCCTTTGTTCATGCACCTACCTCAGCTTTTAATTCCTTTTCCCCTCAAACCTAACTTAAGACTCAGCAACATCTTTGAGTTATCAAGGTAGCTACTTTGGGTTCTGTACTTAAGGGGCCCCCATGCTGCTAGCAGTGGGACAGTGACTTAGACAGCAAGGAGAAAAGAAAGTGGTTGGTACTAAAAAGACTTAGGACTCTTAAAAATGCAGTCAGCCTACTAAAAGGGAACAGGAAAATGGGGATAAAGCAGATACATGGCAAAGGATGGGATTCATAGCTATGTAAAGGCATCCTAATCAGCAACCAAGAATGGGACAATCACGTAAATTGAATTAGACTACAGCTGATGGCATTAGTGACCATCAAGGGAATGAATCAAATGGTACATGTGGAAAGTTGAGTTTGAATAGGCTGATTAGTATATTTTCTGGTGTAGGTTCCATTTCTCTGAAGTTCAATTTCAGACAATTGGCTATTTTGGGATAGTCATGATAAAAGTAAGAAATGAGTAAAAGCCCTACCAATCAAAAAGGAGTGAAGAACCACTAACAATCATACTTACCCTGCTAAAGAAGGGGACTAGAATCACAGAATTTCAGAGTCGAAAGGAACCTTAATAGTCATTTAATCTACTTGATTCTAGTATCCTATAGAAACTTCCTTCCTGTTAAAGTATCATATACATGTCATTTATTATGATTATTATAATCTCGTGAAAGCAGTGTTTCAAGATTATTTCAGCAGCTATGTGTAGAGTGAATTCAAGTGACTGGATTGTAGAATTTCAAACTATATGCCATCCCTTCTCCATACACCTCTTAGTTTTTCATTCTTAAATGTATCCCTTGGTTTCTAGTCATACAGTTCAACCCCCTTATCTCACAGATAAGGACACTGAAGGTCAAAGAGGTTATGATTTGCCTGTGGTCATGTAGCTGGTAAATAGGAGAGCCAGGATTTTAAGTTAGGCCCTCTGATTTCAAATCTAGCACTCTTTCTTTCAACTGTTCGTTGTTCAGTCATTTTTCAGTTGTGTCCTACTCTTCTTCATGACCCTGTTTGGGGTTTTCTTGGCAAAGACACTGGAGTAGTTTGTCATTTCCTTTTCTAGCTCATTTTACAGATGAGGAAACTGAGGCAAACAGGGTTAAGTGACTTGCCCAAGGTCACATAGCTAGTGAGTGTCAGATCAGATTTGAACTCAGGAGAATGAGGGTTGGTCTCTATCCACTGTGCCACTTAGCTGCTCTTTCTACTGTACTCTTTATATTAGACATCAATTCTACTTAACTCCAGTGCCTTCCCTCTGTTGATTATTTCCAAATTATCTTGCATGCAGCTTATTTGCACATAGTTGTTTATATGTTGTCTCTCTCATTAGACTGTGTACTTTCTGAGAGCTAGGGCCATCTTTTGCCTTTCATTGTATCCCTATAACTGAGCACAGTCTCTGGCACATGGTAGTGGTAACTGACAGACACCAGCTAGAAAATTTTTGAAGGGGGTAGCTGAAGGAATTTTACAAAATTTTTTTGCAGTTTTTAGCACTTGGAATCTTTACTGGGCCAGACTGCCAAGAGAACAGTTGTAACTTGGTACACTTGTAGTTGAGATATCCCGCGTCTCCCAGGAACAGTTGGGTATCATTCCATCCGGCTTGGCAGAATGCATAGGTGGGACCTTGATGACCCCAAACCCTCTTTTTTTCTTTCACCCAAACCTAAGTCCTGATCTCCACCTGATTCCCCAAGCCTCACATTTCTAAAAATGTGCAATTTATGATAAAGTCAGGGCAGAGACCAAGGGCAGTGTAGGAAATGTTTAGTTAAGAGCTTTAAGCGACAGGAGATAGAAGGCCTCAAGTTGTCAACACGGCTTAAACATTAACTTTTCTAAGAATCTGTTGTAAAAGATGTGCCTTTCATCCGCCTACTTTTATTGAAGATAAAAAGAAATACCTGGCATGCACTATGCGCCTTCCTGGCGTGTGATAGATTACTTACTGTAGGCACCCACTCTGTGAGGAAGCACTTTCCACATACTGTTTCAGAGCCAGGTGGAATTCTTCCAAGTCTTCTTCTACCACAGACATCTGACGCTGAACAAGGAGGATATGCTGTGGGGCATTAAATCAGAACAATGGTTACATTAGCCTGTCCCACCCCTGCTTCCCATGTTTCGATGATGTCTGCTTCCAATTCCATGCTCGTTTGTCAATTAGCCGGGTTGTCTCATTTGTGATGATGTCCTGTCTATTGCTGGTGAATACTCCAACTTGTAAAATGACACAAAAGCTATCACACATAGATATACATACATACATACATATATATATATATATACATATATATATACACACATACACACACACATATACATGCATGCTATATAATGCTTTTATATGTATATATTTACATGTATATATATTTATGTGCATACATACATACCTACATACACACATAGATAGGTAAGTTTTTACTTATATACAGGGTGCCCCAAAGCTTAAATTTTACTTATTTGACACTGCATTAAGACTTTTAGGACACTTTGTGTAGCCACCTTTTAAAATTTTTTCTTTTGGAAAGGCAGTGGATTGTGACTTGCTCAGGGTCACACAGCTAGTAAGTATCAAGTATCTGGGGGCAAATTTGAACTCAGGTCCTCCTGGCCCTAGGGCCAGGTGTTCTCTCCACTGTGCCATCTAGGTTCCCTTCCTAATGAATTTTGTCTCTGCATGTGAGTCATTTACCAAATCTGAGGGTGCCCAGTCTGTGTATCATTTGTAAAACAACTTCAATTTCCCTTTTAGGTGTTTTGGGAAATTGGAGATTTTTCAGGACTTTCCCGAAGGCGGGAGAACTCATTCTGCATCTGTGACTGATTCCAGTTTAAAAATCATTAGTCTGCACATATAGGTTTGAAAAAAGTAAAGAAAAAAAATTCTGTATATTTCTCAAAAATAAAAGCAAGGTCTTTATCACCATCTTCTCAATGGGGCTGTGGTTCTACAGAGCGGTCTTCATTTTCTCCACTACATACTGGTTGCTGGACTGATACTGTATTTTTAACTGTATATGTTCTGCATCACTCAGACTTACCTACCAATGAGCAAAGAAAACTTTAAAATAAAAAAAAAATCAACCCTATAAAAATAATAAAGATACATAAAGCTATTTATGCCCAAAAGCTCTGAATTCAGGTCCCAGTGGCTATAACAGAGAAATTAACTAAAGCCCTGCCCATTTTTAATATAAGAAAAAGTGCTTTAGTGTATGTTGCAGCCACTGAGAGCATCTCAATAAAGAGCACCATGCTACAGACCGTCTAAAAAGAAAAAGAAAAGACTTGGTGAACACTTCTGGAATTTTCTCAATCAGAACATTCTCAAACCTATTTTCCTAAATAATTAATAATGCCAATTTATATAGGAGCCCCCTGATAATAGACCCTATGCAAGGTAACATTGAGTTAGATTAGACAGCAAGGTGGTAGTGACTAGAGTGTTGGACTTGGGCTTGGGAAGAATCCTTCCTCAGATAGGTACTGTGATGACCTTGGGCAAGTCACTCAACCTCTCTCAGCCTCAATTTCTTCATCTGTAAAATAGGAATAATAATAGCATCCACCTCCCAGGCATGTTGTGAAGATAAAATGATGCATGTACAGCATTTTGCAAACCTTAAAGCACTATGTAAATGCTACATATAAGCTATATATAGCTATTATTACAAGAGGACTGTGTTAAATTATTAATAGTTAAGAACTTGGTAAAGTTATCAGTATATTGACATATTGATATTCCAGAATAGAGTTTAGTCCACAGTAGTTTTTGCAGCAACATAGGACTAACATATGAAGGCCTGCTTAATCCCATGTGTGCTGTTCATGACAAGAATTACACATTTTTTATTTTCTGTGACCCTTTCCCTAATTTCATTTAGTGCCTCCTTTCTCAGCCTATAGCTGGGTCTCTATTGTCTCTGAGGAAAGTGATTCAATAAATTGTTGTTGTTGAGTTGTTTTTCAGTTGTGTCCAACTCTTCGTGAACCCATTTGGGGTTTTCTTGGCAAAGATGTTGGAGTGATTTGCCATTTTTCCATTTCTCACACATAACTTGTGGTAGTCTGAACAACCTCTTTTTTTCCAGGCCTCCCTTTTCTTACAGCCCTAGACTATTTCTGCTCTACATAAGCCTCGTCCTTCTGCCTGATAAGCCTACCTTGTCCTTTCTCTGGAATCCTCAAAATCTGAAATCTCTCATGCTGAAAACTTCCCTGTTTCTAACTAATTGGTGCCTAACATCAGATGAAAACAGAGGTAGGAAACCAGTCAAATGTATATGAATGAGACCTTGTCCTTCCCTATAAAATGCATCCCCCCTTTCCATAACACAAGACAACCAAAGTGTATCCACACTAACTGAGAAGAAGTCAGACAGGCAACAACTATCTGTTGCTTACTGTGTGGCAGGCACTGTTCTAAGGGGTATGGTTGCAAAGTCTGGAGAGTGAGATACACAGTTGGGAGGGGAATGAAGCATAAGAAGCCTGGAAATTTTAATTGCATCTTTGTGTCTTAGGATTTCATATAATAAAGCAGGTATGGATTCGGTTCAGTTTCTCCAAGAGTATATCAATTTGTTTGTTGGAAAAAGGACTTATGTTTAATATAATTAGTGTTTGCTGATGATCAAAAAGGGAAAGCTAGGTGGTGCAGCAGATAGAGCGTTGGCCCTGCAGTTAGGAGCACTTGAGTCCAGCCTCAAACTCTAACTAGCTGTGCAAGTCACTTAACCCTCTTTGCCTCAGTTCCTCATCTGTTAAACGAGCTAGAGAAGGAAATGGCAAACCACTCCCCTATCTTTGCCAAGAAAATCCAAAGTGGGGTCATGAAGAGCTGGACAAGACTGAAATGATTCAATAACACCAACAATGGTAAAAAACCGATCTTTTTAGTACTCTTTTCTAACTTCTCTGCCACTCCATCGTTAGAGGTGGAAGAAAGCAATGCAAATATGGAAACCATGTTCTTTTTTCATTGTTTCATGGGTCACAATCATCTGGTGGTGGCCAACCTGTTGGTAATGAACCTCTCTGTGATTAGCTATGCTGGTCTTAGAGTAGCGAGCACAGTCTCTTCCCATTACCACATTTGAAACCTTTCTAGCTTGGGAGGAACTGCTAGAATTCCTATTCCACTGACATTGACTTTGAGAACCCAGTTTTGACTCACCATAGTGAAACAACAATGTAGAATTTTTGAGGACAAGGTAATTTCCATCCTGAAAAAAGTTTTAAGTTAAATGTTCTTCATCGCTTTTTTATGATTAATACCTGGCCTTCCCACAAAGCCAGTGCAACTAAGATTAGAAGGAAGGTAGAAAGTTGGGAAAGAAGTTTTACAACCAGTTTCTCTGATAAGGGCCTCATTTCTAAAATATAGAGAGAATTAAGACAAATTTGTAAGAATACAAGCCATTCCCCAATTGATAAATGGTCAAAGGATATGACCAGACAGTTTTCAGCTGAAGAAATTAAAGCCATCTATAGTCATATGAAAAACATGCCTCTAAATCATTATTGATTAGAGAAATGCAAATCAAAAACATCTGAGGTACACATCATACTATCAGATTGGCCAATGTGACAAAACAGGAAAATGATGAATGTTGCAGAAGATGTGGGAAAATTGGAACACTAATGCATTGTTGGTGGACTTGTGAAGTGATCCAACCATTTTGGAGAGCAATTTGGAATGGTGCCCAAAGGGCCATAAAAATGTGCATACCCTTTGTCCCAGCAATAGCATTTCTAGGGCTATATCCCAAAGAGATCATACAAATGGGAAAAGGACCCACATGTACAAAAATATTCATAGCAGCTCTTTTTGTGGTGGCAAAGAATTGTAAATTGAGAGGATGCCCATCAATTGGGGAATGGCTGAGCAAGTTGTGGTATATGAATGTAATAGAATACTATTGTGCTATAAGAAATGATGAACAGGCTGACTTCAGAAAAACCTGGAAAGATTTGTATGGTCTGGTCTGATGCTAAGTGTAGCGAGCAGAACCAAGAGAACTTTGTACACAATAACAGCCACGTTGTGCAATGACCAATATGATAAACTTAACCCTTCTCAGCATTACAAGGATCTAAGACATCTCCAGAGGCCTCGTGATGGAAAATGCTATCCACATCCAAAGAAAGAACTATGGAAGATGAATCGCTATCATTTTTTTTTCTCTTCCATTAAGTTTTGTTTCCTCTTTCTGATGGTTCCCCCTATTGGTTTTAATTTTTACTTACAACTTCACTAATGTGAAAATGTTTAATAGGAATGTAAATGTCTAGCCTATATCAGATTGTGAGCAGTCTTGGGGAGGGTGGTAGGGAGAAGGGGGAGAAAAATTTTAAACTCAAAATCATATGAAAGTGATTGTTGATAAATCAAAATAAATTAATAAAATTTAAAAAAATACTTGGCCTTCCCCAGGCTTCCAGTTGCAGTAATGCCACACCAAGTGTTTATAGTATTGAAAGAGAAGTCATCTGGAACTGATGCTTCTCTGAATTTTCAAGGTTCCCTGGCTCTGGAATACATGCATAGCTCAGACAATCTGAGCTTAAAAGGGCAACTTTTACCATTTATGTGGCTATTTAAAAGGCGTCTTGGTCTGACAGGGCCCTATTTTATTTCACAGGAGGGTTCATGGGTGTGAAAGCAGTGTTTGGAGAAAGTGGCAGCAAAGAACCTGACATTTATTGACAAGTAAGTAGGAGGATCAGTTTCATCTTGTAATCGGACCCCAGGCCTGTTATTCTTGGAATATAGATGAAAAATAGAATGTAAGTTCCTTGAGGGTAAGGTCTACCTCACTTTTCCTATTTGTATTCCCAGCACCTAGTGCAGTACCTGGAATATTACCTGACTCTTAATACATTCTTATTGATTGACTGATTGACTTTTGTAGTGACCAAGAGAAGCTAGAAAGTCAAAAGAAGAAAAAGCAGACACACTCACACACAAAATGGAGATTAGGATAGCCAAGAGAAATACTCAGGTAGAAAATCAGTCTTTAAAACAGGGATTCTTACCTTTTTGTGTGTCAAAGCACAAATTGTCAATTTCAGAATGTTTTTAAATGTATAAAAATAAAATACATAGTATTACAAAGGAACCCAATTATATTAAAATATAGTATCAAAATATTGGGGAAAGTGTTCAAGAGGAAAAGAAGGAAAAAATCAGGATGGAGAAATAGGAGGATAATTGTCCCCATGGTGGTGGTGGAGGAGGAACAACAGAGAAGAAGCACCTGACATTTTGTTCTTTCTGTATCTTTAACCATCCTGGTTAAAGCAGGACACAATAAGGAAGACAGAAAAGATGATTTTTTTAAACTGATGGCTAAACTCTGAAAAATCTGAAAAAGTAAAAGGCTTAGCTGAAAAGAAGGAAGAGACCCCATTATTTTTCCATTAAGCATTTCCTACATTGTGTGGATTTTTCATAACCCTTCTCAAGGACCTCTGTCCTCTAGCACCTGCACTGGGCTTTGCCCTTTCATTTACTTGTCTTTTATATCTCTTCTCATCTCATTCAGGATCTAGGAACAAGGCTGGATAGCTATGAGTCCATAGCTTCCTGCTAAGGCTTTGTAGCTGGATAACATATTGTAGCTTAAACAGTCCATAGTTGCCCCTTCCCCAGGCTTCCAGTTTCAGTATTCCCTTAAATAAACAGGGTGAAAGTTCATCCTCCTCTGTTATAATCCTGGAGATGCTATTTACACAGAACACTTCAGGGACTCCTCCATCTGGTTTTTGTGAGTGGAGCGGATTTGGCTGAATCTCATAGGCTTTCCTAAATGAGGCCCTTAAACATCACCTCCATCCCCAAGTCCCAACTAACTGTGAATGTGATTCTTGTACCTTTCGAAGCCCACTATGTTATGGTGCTGTATGCATGGAATCTGGAAAAATTAAGCCTTCTGCTACAAAGTAGTGTCCCACAACATTGCAAAACAAGGCTGTAGGATGTTGACTTCATTACTAGTCATACCCACAGTCCCACTGTGACTATTTGACCCTTGTTTACTTAGACATTAACAATGGGGAAGTAGTGTGTGAGACCCAGATGGCTCAGATGATATAGCCAGCTGAGACCCTAGTGTACCGCTTGATGATATGGGAGAGAATTTTGTGGTCAATAAGTAATGCCAGGGAGGCATTTGGGGGTCTGTTGTGGTCTGAGAGGTTGTGACCCCTCAAAGACTGAAGTACATGAGGGTTGTCTGGAATGAATTCACAGACTCAAGCATTCTTTAAGTCAAGTTGGCAAAAAGTTTATTGTTGAGCTTTTCAGTGGGCAAAGATTCTTAAGGATCCTGCAACCTTACAATGGTACAGTTAAAGTTTATATAGGATAAAATACAATAAAACATGTGCTAAATATGCTAACTAGGTGATTCAGGGTGGGATTAGGGAGTGGTTAAGGAGTGGTCAGTTCTTAAAAGAACATGCACTTCTTGTACCTACTGCGCAGGCGTTTTCCCCAGAGTTCACTAAGAAAATCCCACAAGGGGGGCCACATGGAGCTGTGGTTTTAGGCCTGCTACACCACTAAGTTAATTAGAGTTCTGGGGTAACTGAGAGTTGTCCAGTCTGCCACCAATCAATGTCTTGTTTGACAAGATAGATGTAGAGAGTATTCATACATCTTAAGTCTAGAATAGAGATGATGAGGAGTCCAGGATGTAGATAATGAGGTAGGGCGGTAGTATAGATAGTCCAGTGGGTAACAATGTCTTTATGACTGAGTGCAAAGCCAGTTTAAACTAATAATTCTTTCAGGTACTGTTTGTAACTGCAACAAGGAAAGAGATAAAGGTCTTGCTGGGGCCCACTCATGAGTAATTGCTAGGCACAGTGTCCTTGAGCTGGGGAGAAACTGTTGGGGATAGTGTTTCTGAGGTTAGGGAGAAATTGGTGTCCAAGCATAAACACCCAAACACAAGCACCTAAGCACCCCATCAGGTGCTGAAGGAACAGTACCCTAGTGAAAATACTTTAACATAATTAAATATATTTTATATTATCATATATATTTTATATTTTTTTTTATTTTATGACTATAAAAACATTATTCTGAGAAGGGGTATACAAGATTCAATGGGTCCATGATACAAAAAAGGTTAAAAACTTCTGGGTTTAAAAACATGACCCCTGGAGTTTCTTATAACTTTATGTTTTTTTGATTCTTTCATCTGTCTTTCGAGCTCTCTGCATGAAATGGTGCCATCCTGGCTGGATGGCTTCACTTCCCTAGGCATATAAATTGTTTCTTCTTCATTCATATGCTCTTCCACAGGTCAACCTTTAGTAATAACTACTTAAGGAGGCACAGATGAAATGAACATGTTTCAGATTTATAGCTCACGCACTCTTCCAATCTTGTTTTATACTGAGACAAACAAGTTCATGGGAATGAGTTAAGTCATGCATGCAAAGTAAATGTTTGTACCATTTCTTGAATTGAAAATAGTGTACTTACTGATTTAGTATTTCCTTCATAAATTTCTTCCTCCTGAGGCTCAAGCTTTAGGTCCTTATGGTTAGGAGGAAGAAAAAAAAATCACATAGCACAGAGGATTAGCATTTAAATAAAAAGAATAAGATTATACATTTGAAAAATCTTTGGGGAGTCAATGCTGCTACTTGTTTCTGGATTTCTTCCTGACCTCTCAGCAAGGTGGTACCATGGATAGAGCACTGAGCCTGGAGTCAGGAAGATCTGAGTTTAAATCTGGCCTCAGACACTTACTAGCTGTGTGATCCTGGGCAAGTCACTAAACCCTGTTTTCCTCAGTTTCCTCATCTATAAAATCAGCTAGAGAAGGAAATGCAAACCATTTCAGTATCTTTGCCACTAAACCCCCAACTAGGGGCACCTGGAGTCAGACATGACTGAAAAATGACTGGCCAACAAGAAAGACAGACTGCCCTCAATTTCTAGAATTGATTCCCTCCAGGTTTCTTCCTTCCCTAGTTAGCTTAAGTGCCACCTTCTCCATGAAGTCCTCCATGATTCCACAGCCTTTCATCTTTCTCTGGTTGACCTTTCTTTTGTACTTATCACATTTTAAATTGCATCATATATAACTTGTGTATATGTATCTTTCTACTAAATTATTAACTTCATGAGGGCAGGGAACCATGTATCACCAATACCTAGATCAGTCCACAACACATAGTAACTACTTAATAAACGTTACATGAAGCAGAAGTCTTATCATCTCAAAATATATAAAGAGTACTGGTATTAGGCTATTGGAATGAGGAGCTTTTCACTCATTTATAAGCTAAAAGAAGACATTCCTCCACTAAAGTTTTCCAATGGCTCATCAGGGCATGCAGTTGACCCTAGGTTCTTAAAAGTTATGTTAGCCAAGCACAAACTCAGGCAAAGTTATACGCCTGCCAAAAACTGTGGTCCAACAACCATGTTGTGCACTTGAATCTTGGAATCTAGAAATGGAAGATAAGTTGGAACTAAAATTGAATAGGAAAGTGGCCTGGATATCCTTTGGAAACTTCACATTTCTTTTGATGATCCCAAACTATTCCATGAAACAGAGTTCTCTTTTAAATAACAATATTCTTCTGGTAATAGTATCTGGCTGCAAGTCATGGGATACTATACAAATTAATCTTGAAGGGCACCCAAAAGGCAATGGAAAGACACATAGTAAGTTTGAGTAGGTTGTGACACATTTTAAATGAAGCATGTCACCAAAAATATGAAATTGGGAGGAAAATAGTTATATAGGGAAAGTAGTCACATAGGGAAAGTGAGTGATAATCATTGAATGATCTGTGGAGTCCATTGGTATCTATGTGATGTTAAGACAACTAGAGGAAGATGCCCAGTACATTGGTAGATTCCCATTTGTGGATGTATAGGAAGATAGATAGGAGAGTTGTATGTGGGATGAGAAGATACAAATGAATTGTAATATATATTGTGTGAAGAAGTATCTACATCAGTAAGATCACAAGGTACATCAGAGCAAGTCTTGTATTTCATTCTGGTGTGATGTAGCCAAAACATTTGGCATCATGGCACCCAAAAGAGTGAGATGTACAAAGTTGCTCATGAGTGAACCTAGTCCACGTAAACTTAAGGCTGCAATTTCATTACACATAGCTGAGACTAGTAGCTGTTTCTGTGAAGACCAGTTATGTCTTCACGGAATTATAGAATCTCAGAGTTGGAAGGGTCCTCCGTGGCTATGTAGTCCAACATGTACCTAAGCAGTAATACTTTCACAACATGCTAAGTGGTCCTTCTGCCTGTGCTCAGAGATTAGTGGAATAGAAGTAAGAAATGACTGATGACAAGATATTGTTTTGTGGAAAGGTTAATTTTGTTCTTCTGTGCAGTGTGAGGCCATAACTTTAAGTTGCAAGGGTCACCACAAATGCTCATTTGTGAGGAAAGCTACCTTGTGTATCTTTTTTTTGTTTGTTTGTTTTTGCTTTTTGCTAGGCAGTTAGGGTTAAGTAACTTGCCTGGGGTCACACAGCTAGTATGTGTTGTGTGTTGTATGTCTGAGACCGAATTTGAACTCAGATCCTCCTGACTTCAAGGCCGGAGCTCTATCCACTGCACCACCTAACTGCCCCCTAAAGGGTGGATGGTCACACAGCTAGTAAGTGTTATGTGTCTGAGGCCAGATTTGAACTCAGGTCCTCCTGAATCCAGGGCTGGTGCCCTCCTTGTGTATCTTTTTAAAAAGGACTATCACAGTATGTGTTTAATGTTAGCAAACAAGGTGAATCAGCATGGAAATAAAATATGTTCATTCACCGCCAGAAAAATCAAGTAGCTCTTATGGAAAAGCCTGGTTTGGCATAGGACAAAATAAGGTGAAGGAAAAATCTGAATGTAAACTGACATCCATTCCCAGGGATATCCCATACTGAGATCCACAGAGCAAGAGACCCGTGGCAGAAACCACTGCTTAATCTACTTTCTGCACATTTCCTGGGTATATTTCTTAAAGTTAAATCCTTTAAAAAAAGAACAAAAGACAAAGAAAATTTTAAAAATGTGAAGTACATGATAATATCAATTTATTTAAAGAATTAAAAAATTACAAAAAGAAGAAAACATTTCCTAGGTTACAGGATTTTTTTTTTCTTAAGACAAGTATGTAATTTATTCTAAGGCATCAAAACAAGGCAAGTTTGCAAAGATGTTTATGCTCCTAAAATTAATGAAAATGTAGTAATATGTTGTATTTATTCTCTGGTCTGAAATGGGAAATGAAACATGTTTCTGGCATTCTGAATCTCTGTCTTCTAATACTAGAAAACAATTTCTGAAGCCTTAATTTATTAGAATATTCTTAATTAGACACGAAGAGTGACAAGTGATTAGCCGCAAGTTATAGGTTAGATCCTTGCTCCAGGAAGCGATGGATATGATTTCAACATGTGAGGGGTAGATGGGGATGCATCCTTTGGTGCATACTTTTTATGGCAGCTATGACAACTGACAATTCCCAAGACTCACTCATCAGCTCGGTGTTCTATTCTTTCAAAACTCCCTTCCTCAAAAATCCTGTTTATCCTTATAGTTTCAACTCTTAGCCTTATGTAGTTGGGAATCCAAGGTGTGTTGCTCATCCTGACCACTCTCCTGAGATCTTGTATTATTTCTTTAACTGCCTACTATAAATTTCTGATTGGATATCCTGCTGTTACCCCAAACTCATACTAAGCTGTCATCTTTTCTCCCAAACCATCTATCTCTTCTGTATTGCCAATTTCTGATATTAAGACCACCAATATCCTAATCATCTAGACTCATCAACTTAGATTCATATTTGATTCTTTCTTTTCCTTTGTCTCCATATCTAATCAATCACTGATTTCCATTGCTTATTTCTTCAAAATGTGCCCTTTCCTTTCTGTTCTCAAGGCTAAGGCTATCAGTTCATTGAGATTGTTGGTTTTTTAATAGTCTTTGAGTGAGTCTTTCACTTCCTACTCAAAAATATTTAATGGCTCCTCAGTACCTGATTCTTCATATTCTGGCCTCAATTATCCTCATCTCTTGCTACTCTAGAAAGTTAGTCTTCTGTACCAGCCAGACGTTTTTATTCGATGTCCTTTTTTTGTTTCTGAACCTTTACATTCATCTTCCTCTGGTCTGACCTAAACTTTAAGCCCTTTTAAGGATCCTTATGCATAGTCAAACAAAACAAATTCCTACATCCTCTACACCCAAAAATATATGACTCATTCTGCCTCTTGAATCCATCAACTTTCTGTCCCGAGGTGCATAGCTTTTCATGTTATTCTATCTTACCTTTTCTAATAACATCTAAGCTCATTGAAGGCAGAGACCATGTATCAAACATATTTGTATTCCTCCTCCCCCATTGCATTGTATACAAATACCTATAAATGATCGATTTATAAGAGACTGTTCTTGCTATTAAAACTTATTGGAGGAGGCTATACTATGACATAATAATATATTGAATATTCTGGTTTATAAAGATTTATTTTGACCTATTAATTGGATTTCCTAGTACTTATCTGGAAACACATGATCTGATTCTAAAGATAGTTAAAACCTTTTTAAAATCCAAAGCCTTGGGGCAGCTAGGTGGCACAGTGCATAGAGCACTGGCCCTGGAGTCAGGAGGACCTGGGTTCAAATCTGGTCTCAGACCAGCACTTGACACTTACTAGCTGTGTGACTCTGGGCAAGTCACTTAACCCCAACTGTCTTGCAAATAAACAAAACAAAACAAACAAACAAAAAAAAAACCCCAAAGCCTAAACAATAACTAGGAAGTCTTTACTCTATCAATCATATGTAAAAAGTCATATGTAAAGCAATTATATGTAATATTATATTGAAGAGAGATTTCTCCAAACAAAGTAAGGTCTTCCAGATGTCTTGTTTGTGGATGACATGGTTCTTTTTGCATCAAGCCTGGGAATATTTCAGAGCCTCCAGGACAAGATCCAGAATAACTCATGAATTTTCCCTAAAACTATCCACTCAGGAAAATAAATTAGGTGAAGAGTGCCTATTTTTCAGATTATAGCATGCAGTTATACTGGCAGCCTATAAAACTCATCCATCCATATGTGTGTACGTATGTATATACACACATGCATGTAGGTATACACACATATACACATAGGTGTGCATGTACATACATATATGTATACACATATGCATATATGCACATATGTACAAACATACAAATGGACAATGAATTGGAAGAGTAAAGTGGGCTGGATTGTCTTTGGGAAACGGAAAAACTCTGTTAATGATCCTTAATTTCTCTTGGAAAAAAATAAGCCCATCATTTTGTAACCATTTTACCAGTTTAATATGGTTGTGAGTTAAGAATATTATAATCTTCCAAGATTCAAAATTAGCATCTCTCAGAGGGAAATGGAGAGGTATAGGGTAGTCATGATCAAGGTGTAACACATAAGAAATAAAGGAAGACAAAGTACTAAATAAAGGATGTCATCAAAGAAATGTTTGATGGGAAAAGAAGAGTTGGTCTTATGGAAAGAGCAAGGTGTACCTGTTGGATGACCCATATGTGTGCTTCACTGATATCCTCATGATGTCAAGAGACATCAAGGAGAATGTCTACCCCAGGCGCAGACTTATGGAAGGGCATAGAATCTGCAGGCATGGTTGGGCTACTACCTGTATTACACTATGGAACAACATAGCTCCATTTGAATATTTGAAGCCTGCCTGTCTTGTCCATATCCTTTCATTAACCTGCCACAGAGGATTCACCCAACATGCTGAGGACCTTCCTTGCTTTCTCTTGAAAGTCCCTTCTGCAAGTCTTTTCACTTCTCAACTTCAGTTTTCCAATTGTAAAATGGGAATAATGACAATGATGATGATGATGATGATGATGATGATGATGATGATGATGATGATAGTCTGATCTTCCAGATTGTTGTGGGGATAAAAAAATAGCATTTATTAAGCATTCCCTATGTGCTAAGCATTGTGCTGTGCTGGAAGTACAAATACAAGTAGAAAGAAAGAAATGAAGGATTAAATGAAATAATGTCAAGTGTTTTGTCAGATTTAAAGTGCTATGTAAATATTATTATTATTATTACTCAATGACAAGCTAAGAAATAGGAACAGTGCACTGGCTTTGTTTGACTCCCAACACAGCACTTGATTGAAAACACTATTATTTTTAGTAAATACATGTGTGCATACACTCTGAGCATCCTCAAATAAATCAGTGACAGCCACACTACCTAGGTGGGCTGCCTTTCTGACAGTGCAATGCTCATCATTCAGGACAGAAAGCAAACATAAAAAGAAGTGGAAAGGATAAAAGGGAGTACTCACCTTCTTCTCCAGCCGATCAATTAGCTTTTGGAGTCTGTTTATCTGGGTCATCCACTGGTTGTCTTCCTCTAACAGGCCTTGGGGAAGATAAATCAGGATGACAGTTTGCTACACATCTAAACTTCAAGCAGAGTAGCAATACTGTACGAGCTGAGAGTTTTTCTTTTACCCTGAAGGAAGAACTTAGTATATCTGACCAAGTTAACTCACTTTTTGTTGTTCATTTGCAATCATGTCTGACTCTTTGTGACCCCATTTGGGATTTTTTTTGGCAGAGATACTGGAGTGGTTTGCCATTTTCTTCTCCAACTCATTTTACACATGAGGAAACTGAGGCAAACAGGGTTAAGTGACTTGCCAAAGGTCACACAGTTACTAAGTGTTCAAGGCCTGATTTCAACTCAGATCTTCCTGACTCCCAGCCAGGTGCTCTATCCACTGTGCCACTTACCTGCCCTAAGTTAACTCAATAGTCCATATATAATTAGAATAGGAGGAGCACATGCTTGCTGGGTTATTAATTTTCCTGGGCACATTTCTCCTATTGGAATAATTTCTGAGATTCTTTTATTCAAAACTGACTATATCAGATTTGAGTTTTTCAGAGGGAAAGGGCAGAGTGGTGAGGAGCCTGGCAATATTGCCTAGGCAAGGACAAGTTGAAGGAAATGAGGATCACTTGGAGAAGCATGATAATAATCATTACAACTGGGAAGGTATAAGGAGGATACAGAACTGAATTAAGTCAAGAAACTCTGGGTTCAAATCCCACCCCACATGCTCACTAATTGTGTGACTCGGACAAGTAAGTCCCTTAATAGACTGGAATGTAGAAATTCCTTAAGGCACTAAACTGGGTCAATTGGCATAGCACATTTAACAAAAATTCACAAGGCAAAGCACATAGAGATAGGATGAACATTTTTATTTCTAAGTAAAATTATAATTTTGCCATCAATAGATATACCTGTCCCTTTAATGTTTACCCCTCTGAGTCTCAGTTTCCTCTTCTATAAAACTGGATATAGCACTTACAGTATAAAATTAGATAATCCTTATATAAATGGGAGCTATTATTATCATTGTTAAGCATTTGAATACAGGAGGAATCATTCTTGTTTTGCTTGGCTTACAGGCAGAGTAAGAGGCAATGGGTGGAAATTGAAGAAGCAAATTTATCCTTAATGTATGAAAAAATTTCTCAATAATTAGGACTACCTAATGGTGTATTGGGCTGCCCCCAAGAGTGGTGAGCTCCTTTTTTATTGGAGTTATTCAAGGTAAGGCTTGATGATAATTTATTGGGAATAATAATAATTAGTATTTATATATTGTTTTAAGGTTTGCAAATGCATGTTAACTCATTTGGTCCTCACAACAACCCTGTGAGATAGATTCTATTATCATTCCCATTTTACAGATGAGAAAACTTGACACTGAGAGAGGTTAAGTGATTTGTCCAGGGTCACACAGCTAGGAATATTGTAGTTGAATTCTTGGTTAACTATGGGTCGATTGAGGTCCCTTCCAACTCAGAAATCCAATATTGTTGTTTTGTCATTTTTTAGTCATGTCCAACTTTTTGTTATCCTATTTGAGGTTTTCTTGGTAAAGATACTGGAGTGGTTTGCCATTTCTTCCTCCAGATCATTTTACAAATGATAAAACTGAGGCAGAGTGAAGTGACTTGCCCTAGGTCACTCAGCTAGGTGTCTAAGGCCAGATTTGAACTCAGGAGGATGGGTCTTCCTGACTCCAAGCCTGGTCCTCTATCCATTATACCACCTAGCTGCCCTGCTATAAGCTTAGGGCTGATTATCATCCCTGCTTCTTCCTTCTCTCTTACTTGGGCTTCCCCCTCCCCATCTCCAGCTGATTGTTTGTTGATAGAACTTTAGGTACTTTTTAGGATCCTTGGCAGAACCACACCCTCTTTTCAGTCACCATGGAACTGTAGCTGCTTGGGATCCTCCCAAAGTACAAGACTGGGGTCCCTACCCTTCTCTAGAGATGGCTCTATGCTCAGTATTTAGTACTTTATTCAGCTTCATTTGTACAACAATTAAACTACTCAACAAAGAAAGTCAGAAATGCCACCCATTTTACCTGGGCCACCCGTGTGAAACTGAGGGCTGTTGGGAGAGAAGCTGCTGTGTCTCTGGACTCTGCGACTGGATCGTTTACCAGGCCATGGAATAGACAGGACTTCTGGTTTGGTTGGGCCTTGCCTTTAACAACAAAGAGAGAGTCAATTCGGGTGTCGAATTCACAGAATCACGAAGGTATCTCGGGAGTCTTCTAGTCCAACTCATCCCTCTAGCCTACCCCAGCCCCACCAAAAATTTCAGTTACAAAATAATTGAAAAGTGGTCATCCAGCCTTATGCCTGAGAATCCGTGTCTTCCAAGGTAGTCCATCTGACTTTTAGATGCTTCTAATTGTTAGAGAGGTTTTTCTTACTTGAACCCTGAATTTGCTTCTTTGTGGTTCATACCTATTAATTTTGATTCTTCCTTCTGGAACTGAAGAAGAGGATTCTAATCCCTTTTCTATAGGACGGCCCTTCAAATACTCGTATACAACTTTCATGACCTCCTCTAGTTTTCCCCCATTTAGGATAAACATCCCCAAAGCTTTCCGTTCTCAAAAATTATGGATTGGAAGCCCCTTTCCATTCTGACTGCCCTCATTATCATGTCTGACTACCCTAGATTATCAATGCCCTTTCCAACTGTAATACTCAGAACATAATGCTCTAAATGGGATTTGACCAATTAACTCCTTATTGCTGGATTAGTGGAAGCTGTGCCTATGTTAGTTAATACCAGGATTACATACCAGAATTATATTAATTTTATTTTGGTTGGTTGTTTTTGGGTCCTTGTTGCATTATTGACTCACATTAAGCTTGTAGTACTGTCACCAAATCTCCAAGGTTTTTTTCAGATGAACTGCTGTCTATATATGATATATATGATGTGCTGTCTCACCATCCTTCACCAACTTGTAACTGTGAGGTTGATTCTTTTTTTAACCAAGAGTAAGACTTTTCATTTATCCTTATTAAACCTCATCTTATTTGTTCCTGCTTAAAGTACTAGCACATTACAATCCTTTAGAAATATGAACTCCTTCTTCTTTTACAAAATGACTAATATGGAAATATTTTACATGTTAGTACATGTATAACCTCTATCTGATTATTTGCCATGGGGGAGTAGAAGAGGGGAAGCATAGAGAGGGGAGAGATAGAATTTGAAACTTAAAACTAAAAAAAAATGTTAAAATTGTTTTAATGTAATTGGGGGAAAATGAAATATATATATAAAAAAGAAAAAAAGGAAAAAAGGAATACTAACTTTTTGAAAAATGTATTTTCTGGCATCAGTGACAGTGATTATCTGCTCAAGGGAAAAGAAGCCTGGAAAGAGAATTGCTTTTTTCTAAGTGGCCTCCAGAGACACAAGAGAAAGAACTGCATGTAGACCTAAGAGGCAAGATTCAGTGGTTTTGTTGAAAAATAAAGAAAAAAACTGATATCAAAGTTATTTACTAACTTAGGACTTATGAAATAAAGAGTCCACATATGTAACATATTACATGTATAAATACATACATATATGATCATGAAATGGAAGATAACAACTGAATAATTAGAGAATAACATGTTTATGTCACAGGAATTAGATCTGGAAGGGATCTTGAATCTTGGTTCAAGTATTCCATTTCACAGATGTGAAAACTGAGGAGGTGGACAGACAGAGGAGGAGACTTTCCAGAGGCCACACAGGTGATCTGCCTCAAGCAGAAGAGCCCTTATTCAAAGCCAGCTGTCCCTGGCTCCGGAGCCAGTATTCTTTCTACTGTACCAATGCATAACCTTGGTATAAATGCCCCTGATGCAGTTCAGTTGCAAACATTTAGGCTGAAGATGTGTACAGATTTTCTATGACCTCAGGAATTAATAAATCTTCTAGGGGCATTAAGAGTTGCAGCTACCAGTTACCAAAATATTCCTTTTATTGCTTTAAACTAAGGAAATAGAAGCCCTACTTAGATTACATGCATGCATGCCCATACTCTTGCTTGAAATTTCTTCCTGATTCCACGCAAGCCTCTGTTAATGCAGCTGTCAGTGTCGAGAAAACAAGAACACCCATCTAAGTAAGCCAGGAAGTGATAAAGCAATCAATTCTATCCATTCCTTCCCCCTTCATATTTTGGAAATCACAGTACATAAAAGAAGCTTCATTCAGATTGTGATAAAACTACTTTACTGATTTTTTTAAAAAAAATTTTTTTCTTGGTTATTTTTGTTGACTATATTAAATTTGTTGTTGTTCAATCATTTTAGTTGTGTTCAACTCTTTGTGACTGTGTTTGGAGTTTTCTTGGCAGAGATACTTGAGTGTTTTGCCATTTCTTCCTCCAGATCCTTTTCCAGATAATGAAACTGAAGCAAATGAGTTAAGTTACTGGTCCAGGGTCACACAGCTAGTCAATGTCTAAGGCTGGATTTGAACTCAGTAAGATGAGTCTTCCTGATTCCAAGTCCAGTACTCTATCCATTGTGCCACCTAGCTGCCCTTATATCAAACAAAAGAAGAACAATTAGTCATCTTTGCTTCATTCCTTAACTCCTTGGGAAAGTTTTCAATGTTTCTCTCTCTCTTTTTTTTTTTTTGGCTAGGCAATGGGGTTAAGTGACTTGCCCAGGGTCACACAGCTAGTAAGTGTTAAGTGTCTGAGGCCAGATTTGAAAGTTTTCAATGTTTCTAATGATGACCTATTTCAGTAATAATCATACTCTAGCTTACTTTCATATGGTACTATAATGTTTACATACCATCTCATTTGATACTCATAGTTACCATGTAAGGTAAGTATTATTATTATTCCCATTTTATATATGAAGAAACTGAGGCACAGAAAAGGATATGTTACTTGCCCAGGGTTTATACAGCTAGGAAGTGACTGAAGCAGGATTCAAAACCAAGTCCCATGCTATATCCCTTATGCCATGCTTCTACCTTTTTCTATTTCCTTCAATATAAACTTTCTGAGTGATAAGTAATGCTCATGTTTCTTTCTGATTGCTACAACTCAAAATTTACCACTCCTGAGACTGATACTGATAGTCAAATTCATCTGGTACAAAATCCTTTCATTTTTATTCCAGTGATGGTATTAACCACCATTCAAGACTGAAGGCTGAGAAACATTAAATAGATGTAGCCAGAAGAATAGTTCTCTCACTGCCAATGGCTTTGATCAAAAAGAGATTTTTTTTTTCTTTGTGTCAGGTGAATTTCTTGCTTTTGTTCTCCTTGTTTCCATGGGCCTTTCACCTAAGATTTTTAGTCCCTGGGATTGTAGTTTTCAGGAATGAATACAGACTTATGCTACATAACCAAATAGTTTGGGATGGCTCTTTACTTCCAATTCCAGCTATACTTGAGCCAGTGACCTCTAAAATGAAAGCTTCTACAAGTCATGAACAATACTCTAATCCTGTTCATTTCCCCTGGACTTTTATTGTTTTATGTTCCTTCTCATTAAACACAGCTGCTATGCAGCTGCTGGCAGTGATCAACGGAGAATGAACTTAAAGCCATCCCAGGGACTAAAACAAAGAAAAATGGTTGTTCCTTTAAAAAAAATCTCTGCATGGTGTTTATTATGGAAAACAAATGTGCTGCAGGTAGCATTGATGAATGGCCAGAGAGCCTGAGATGTAAAAACTATTCTCTGCTACAATATTTGACTCTTATAAAAGAACCCATTTTAGTTCCAGTAATACTAAACAAAAGAGACAATAGAACAAGCCTTATTTTCTCATTAGGCAAACGAAATCTGTTTCATTGTGCCTTAAGATATTTTGTCTTCCATTGCTGAGAGTAGAGAATTTGCTATTTTTGTTTTTCTAAAGCTATTTTGTATGCATTGCTATTTGAAAAAGAAGCATGAGGGTAGCAGACTCTGAATCATTAAATAGCACCTTTTAAATGCTATTTTTAATGCAATGATGTTCTTTGCTTTCAATTTTGTCTTTGTCCATATACTTGACCCTGGCATCCATCTTGCTTCTGCTTCAGTCATTCACTGGTGTATTATGTCACCATCACCTGGAACTATATCACTGAAATTCTCTTGCTAAACACAACCTTTCCTTCCATACCCTCACTTCTACTGAACCTACTCTTTGCTTTCAGCACTAGGTCCTTTAACTTTTCCCAGTTTTCCCAGTCAATCCTTCCTGGCCTGGCCTCATTGCCTCAATACCCAATCATGAGCCCTTGGTCAGGCATTTAAATGAAGCAGTCACGTCCCTTTCCCCTCCTAAATTGCTTTCCCTTTTGTTCTTCTGCATTTCTTTCTTGGCTAAATCCTAACCCTGTGCAATCCCTAGTAAAATTCTAAGCAATGTGGGAGAAAACAAAGAAAATGTTAATTGTCCCTAATATAAATGTATGCTATCTAACCTCAGCTGGGCCTTCAGCAGTCCTTTTATTTTTCTTTGATTAACTTCCTATACCATTCCTTGAAATGGTTCTTCAGAGACTTTTTCCCTGTCCTCAACCTCCAATTCTATCACTGTTGCCTTTGCCCTCAGCTGATGGCTTTGCTGCTTGTTTTACTGAGAACAAGGCCCTCTGATTGATGTGATCTAGGGGTGCTGGGAGCTCCAAAACGCAAGAGTACAGGGCACATCTGCCTCAAAAGAATTTGACCACTCAAGCCTTCTTTAAGTCCAGATCAAGAGTTTATTATGGCACTGGTTACATGGGTGAGATTCCTAGTGAGTCTTTAATTAATGGGGGTGAGAATGAAACTTTTATACAGAGAAAGGGAAAAAGGGTCAGTGAAAAGATTTTGATGGGATTAAGGATTGGCAAGTAGCAAGGAGTCTGAATGCAGATTGAAGCATATTTTTTCTTTGCTTTATTTTTCCTCTCGTTTTTGGTCTCTGTTTTGTTTCACAATGTGACTAATGTGGAAATATGTTTTACATGACTACACATGTGTAACCTATACCAAATTGTTTACTTTCTCAATGAGAGGGGGGGAGAAAGGGAAGGAGAGAATTTAGAACTCAAAATTTTTTTAAAAAAATGTTAAAATTATTTTTTACATGCAATTGGAGAAAAATAAAATATTAAATCATTAAAAAAAAACCTGTTGTCCTAGCTCTTCTTCCCTTCACCCTTAAGTTTCTAGAAAGCATGGTCCACTGCCTGATATATTTTCTTCCCCATGACCTCCTTACTCTTCAACCCTTTGCAATTTGATTTGGTAGTGATATACCACAAGTTGTTTCCAAATCTTTTTTGCAATGTTACAAATGATGCTGTTTTTATCAGTATATTTTAGGACTGCAAGCTCAATGTTAATTAACAGTGTGATATGGAAATAAAGAAAAATGATAAAATCTTAGGCTACATAAAAAATGATATAGCTTTCAGGAAGAAGGTGATCCTCCCACTGTATTCTTTTTTTGGTCAGATAACATCTGGAGTTTTGGTCACCAAAATTTAAGGAACATATTGGTAAATTAGAATACATCAAGGGGAAAAACAACCAGTATGATGAAGAGTCTTGAGTTTATGCTATATGAATATTGGTTGAAGCAACTGGGGGTGTTTAACCCAGAAAAGGTTAAACCTGAGGGAGAGGATGATAGTTATCTTTAATTATTTTAACAGCTGTTACATGGAAAAGGGATTAGATTTGTTCTGCATTGTCTGGGAAGGCAGAATTAGGAGCAATGGGTGAAAGCAACCAATTTAAGTTTAATATCAGGAAAACAAAAACTTCCTAACAGAGCTAATCCTGAAGTAGAATGAATGGAATCAGAAAGCAATGAGTTTCCTGTAACTGAAGGTCTTCAGGCCAAGGCTGGAGGTATGTTATAGAGGGGACTTTCTTACCATGAATAGATTGGCCTAAATAGTCATTGAGGTCCCATCTAAGTCTGGTTCTGTGATGTGTGATGGGTTGAAAAACTGCACCCCAAATTAATCCATATAAGTATGTTTAAGGGAACATGTTGAATGATGGATTTTAATTCTAATGAACCTTTCCATCAGTCTTGTGCATACTTTTAAAACAACTGAGCAGTGAACAAAAATATCTAGCAAATGATAATACTATTTTTTTCTTTTCTTCCCACACTTATAATGTTATTGCAATGATGACTTGGACAGCAATGACCCTTAGTAATGTTTTGGTTGAAACAGATTTGTATAATTAACCTTTCCCTTTGCTTTTTTTTTGTTTGGTCATCTTTCTTTTGCATATGAGCAAACAATTCTGATTTGACTACTTTGAGGCTCTACCGAAACCCATCTCTACTCGTCCTTCATTTTGTCTGTTCCTTTATATCACTGGACCTACTTCATTCCCAACTCCCTCTGATTTATCTGAAAGACACCAAAAGGGAATGCTTTTCAGGTGTTTTGGAGCTAGAGTTTGATGAAAGCAGTCCTCTGGTGTCCCACAATTTACCTTTCCTCATTTTTGTGCCTTGGCTATTTCTTTTCAAGCCCCCATAGCTCTCCACTGCTGCCCCTGTCCCTAAAGGCATTCTGAAGAAACATTCTGCTTACCTCTCTTGGCGAGTTTGTTCCTCTGTGGTTTCCATGGCACACTCCAGGGAATTCTGCAGAGACTGAAGCTGGTTCAAGGTCTCCTTCAACAAAAACCTAGTTACAAACTGTTGCAAGTTGGAGGCCTCTTGGTAGTCCTAAAAATGACACAAGCAGATGAAGTAAGCATTTGGGGTGAAGGGAAAAAATAAAATGCATAGATTCCCACTCCTAAAGCCTCTCCGTCCTCTGATCACTCCTAGAAAGAAAGAGAAGACAGGAGAGAAGAGGTAAGAAAGAAACAAGACTGGAATTGGTAGAAGATATGCTAGAGAAAGAAATGGAATAAAAAATTTTCCTGAAACAAAACAAAATGAAACAAAAGCCAATGCTGAATTGTATAAATTTTACTTAGATTCATTGTACCTCAAGGAATAGATATAGAATAAAATTTAGTGGAATTCATTGTACCTCAAGGCCTAGATATAGAATAAAATTTAGTGGAAGTACAGAAGAAATATCTGCAGCAAAGAAGAAAAAAAAATCTGGAATAAGATCCAATGTGACATTTATTCATGACAAATTTAATTCATATGGACAGTCAAGTCATAAAGTATAATAGGTCCCTTTTCCATCTAAATGCAATCATACTCTCAGGAGCTGGCTTAATTCCCTTCTGATGTATATATAGAAAGTAGCTCCTGATGCCAAAGAAAATTCTCTAGTGCATTATTAGGAATCCCAGTTAAAAGATGTTTGATATGACAAAGTTAAATGGCCTGCTAAGTTTGCATCTATTCTTCTAGTCACCCAGACTCAGTCTTACGTAGTCTTCGATGCAGCACCTTTGCCAAGCAAGCTCACCCTCACAAAGTCTTCACAGTAGACAGAAATATTGAGAGATGTTCAAAGAAGTGCCTGAGGACTTCTACGCACACATACCCTTCCACTCTGCCTGGATTAGTCTGGACAGGGGAAGGAGGTCTTGCAGCTGCTATTGTCTGCGATATTTATCTTTCTTTTTCCTCTATGAGCTAAGGAGAAACAGAGAACAAGCATTCTGGTACTCGTTAAACTTATAGAGGTCACACTTCCCTAAATCTCTTTCACTCTTCCTCTTCTTGACATCCCCATTTTTTGTCAGTAGTACTTCTATCTAGTCTCATCAGTTACCTTTGACTTCCTCCCTGTTCCTTGCTCCATTTAATGAATCACCATGTCTAGTCTACTTTTCCTCTTCTCTGTTCTATTATATTACTGGACTTCCTTCATTCTCAACTCCCTCAAATTAATAAATCTTCCTTCTTTCCTTTCCATTTCCACTGCCACAAGCCTAGTCCAGACCATCACACATCCCACTTGGACTATTACAATAGCTCCTGAATATATGTCCCACAACTCCCCTTCTTTCCCACCACATTCTCCCCTACCCCCCTCTCTACTTCCATGTCTTTGCTTATTCCATTGCTGATACTTAGGATGCCCTGAAATCTCACTCCTCCTTCAAGGTCAAGCTCCCATGTTGCCTCCTATATGAAGCCTTACGTGATCCTTCCTTCTTATGAACAGATATGGATATCAGTTTTGCTAGGGAAAAGACCCATTTGATCACAGATTTAAACACAGAAATCAGTTGCATAATTAAAATGCACATGTTCTGAAGATTAGTTATTTTCCAAACAGCTCAGATAGCGCCTTTCTCTTTTAAGGTGATTTCTACACATCAGAATAAAGTGGTTTTATTCCTTCCATTGTCCATGTTGCCTCTTCTTATTATCTAACTTCATTCAAACCCCTGTCTTGGATCAATTGTTGAGATTAGGCTCATGTGTGTTGTAGGGGGTAGAAACCTAAGACACTTTTCTTCATTAAATTGCTCTCAGGTTTGGCCAGCAACAAAAGCAGCAACAGTAACCACATCAACATAATGAACAAAACAATTGCTAAATATTTTTAGTGATCTCAAAACATTTTTATTTCAATCGAGCACTAAAATGAGTGCAAGATTTAGACAGGAAAAGAGGTGTTACCTGTTAAAGTGGTGGTTTGCATGTGTTTTGATGTCTTGCTATCTTGTATTATTCTGTGGTTGTGTTGTTTTGTGATCTTATCAGCTCCCATGGATTTAATTACTATCTTTATGTCTATGATTCTCAAATCTATCTTTCCTGCCCCAAGTTCTCTGCTAACCTTCAATCTCACATCTCTAACTGCCTTTCAGACATCTTGAACTGGAGGTCCAGCAGGCATCTTAAACTCAGTATGTCCAAAATAGAACTCATTTTCTTTCTGTCTAAACCCTGCCCCCCTCCTACCTTCCCTGTCACTGTAGAGGGCAACATCATCCTCCCAGTTCCTCAAGTTCTCAACCTAGCAGTGATCCTAGATTCCTCACAATCCCTCACTCCCTATATTCAAGCTGTTTCCAAGGCCTTTCCATTTCATTTTTGCAACATCTTTCAAATATACTCCTTTTCTCCTTTGATGCTGACATCACTCTAGTGTGGGCCCTCATCAGCTCATGTCTGGTTTATTGCCATAATTTGCTGATAGGTCTGAAGTCTCTCTCTACTCCAATACATCCTCCATTAACCATCAAAGTGATTTCCCTAAAGCACATATCTGATCATGTTACCTCCCCTGCCCCTGCACCCCCACCCCCAATAAGCTCCAGTGGCTTCCTATTGCCTCCAGGAACAAATACAACATACCCTGTTTGGCATTAAAAGCTCATTGTAACCTAGCCCCCTCCTGCCTTTGCAGTGTTCTTACACCTTACTCTCTGATACACACTCTTCAATCCAGTGACAATAACCTCCTTGCTAACACTACATCTCTTTGGTTCTGCTTTTTTTTTTTTCGGTGGCTATTTCGTGCTCTCCATGCTCTGTTTTAACTACTGACCTCCCTGGCTTCCTTTAAGTTCCAGATGAAATTGCATCTACTACAGGAAGCCTTTCCCAACCCCTTGATTCCAGTGGCTTCCCTCTGTTAATTATTTCTTATTTGTCCTGTATATATCTTGCTTTGTATGTATTTATTTGCATGCTGTCTCCCATATCAGATTGTAAGCTTCTTCAGGGCAGGGATTGTCTTTTGCCTCTTTTTGTATCCTCAGCATTTAGCACAGTACCTGGCACATAGTAGGCACTTAATACATGTTTATTGATTGATCAATTATTTAAGAAGTAAGCCAGTAAGCCAAATGATTTAAAGCAGGGCTTCTTATCTTGGGGCCCAGGAACATGCTTTAAAAATATTTTAATAACTGTATTTCAGTATAATTGGTTTCCTTTGTAATCTTCTGTATTTAGTTTTATGCATTTAAAAACATTATTCTGAGAAGGGGTCCATAGGTTTCACAAGTTTGGCAAAGAGGCCCATAACAACACCAAAAAGTAAGAACCTGTGATGTAAAGTGTTAACAGTGGGGTTTAGCACATGCTCAGACCACTTGAGATGATTGTCTGTTATCAGGTGTTTGGGACCGTTCCTGGGAGACAGGAGAACTGGTTCATGCATGGGCATTCTAACCATATCAGCCGTGATGGGAAGCAGCATTTTTCTTTTGCCTATGTAGTTGGAACTCTCTCTGTCTCAAAAACTACCTGAAAGAGGTCAATCAAGCTTTTTCTTGCATTGGAATATTGAGGTAAAGGACTCATTCACTCATAGCAGGTAACCCCATGCAGTAAGGAAGGGAAGGACTTGAGGGCTATTTCCCTCCTCCTAACCTCCCTTAGGTCATGAATCCCCAAGAAAAAGGCTTCAAGTTTTAGTCAGTTTTATCTGTACTCTTTTTTCAGTTCTAGGTACAGGGAGTGGAATTTCCAACCTAGAACTTTGAGCCATGAGAATGTAGGAGCTTAGGAGGCTTTGAACTAGACTTGGTGGGTCTAATGCTATGTAGGAACTGAATTAAACTACATGGTTAATTCCCCTCCCTTATTCAGAGACTTAGGTAGTATAGGTGGGATTATTCCCAAGGTGTTAGGGAAAATGTTTGTAAGTTTTTTCTTGCTATACTTTTGCAGTGACATTCCTTTGTAAAAGCTATTCTGATATTAAATGGTTAAATAGAACTGGGATGGTAGTCCCTGGACACCTCAAATTAGGGAAACACAACTAGGGGGCTCTAGTCAAATGTAGAGCACAAAGATTATCCCAGTCCCATTAGGGTATTGGGGAACCCTGGGGAAGGGGGTGAAATGCAACAAATCTGATCTTCAGAATGAAGCCAGAAAAAGCACCATTACAAAAGGAACAAAGAAAGTGAAAAAAGACACTATATTTTAGTAGACTGAAATATCAGTCTTGAGATAATAGATGGTTTCCCGGGCATGCTACACCATGCTTCCTGCCCTCAGGACAGAACACTCATTTTCATCCTCCTCACCCCCCTCAACTTCCACCCCTTTGGAGCCTTCTCCCCGCTATGGGTTCTGATAGCTGAGCTTTCATGTTATCTTTCACAGGATCAGGTCTCCACTGACACTTCCCTGCCTTCACCACACCATGTAACTCCTACCTCTCACTTTCCAGATCTCTTCACATATTATTTTCCTCCATTAGAGTGTTAAGTTCCTCAAGTTGTGGTATATGATTGTAATGGAATATTATTGTGCTATAAGAAATGACAAGCAGGATGATTTCAGAAAAACCTGGAAAGATTTACATGAACTGATGCAAAGTGAAGTGAGCAGAACCAGGAGAACATTGTACACAGTAATAGCAATATTATACGATGAAGAATTGTGAATGACAGCTATTCTCAGCAATATAACGATCCAAGACAATTCCAAAGGACTCATGATAAAAAATGTTATCTGTCTCCAAAGAAAGAATTTGTAGTCTTGGAATACAGACTGAAACACACTTCCTTCCTTCCTTCCTTCCTTCCTTCCTTCCTTCCTTCCTTCCTTCCTTCCTTCCTTCCTTCCTTCCTTCCTTCCTTCTTCTTTCTTTCTTTCTTTCTTTCTTTCTTTCTTTCTTTCTTTCTTTCTTTCTTTCTTTCTTCCTTCTTTCCTTGCTTCATTTCTTTCTTTCTTCTTGCACAAAATTACTAATATGGAAATGTTTTATGTGATTGCACAAGTATAACCTACATCAGATTGCTTACTGTCTCAAGGAGGAGTGAGGGGAGGGAGGGATAGAATTT